TTAATTGTTCACTGTCACTTCATTGACAGGGATATATGTACAACTTTTTTTTTTCAGGCTTCTTGCCCACATGGATGACCCTGACATTGATGAGCCATACCAGCCGCCTCAGGGACATGTGCTCGGGAAAAAAGAGGAGTCAGTAGCAGGTCTGGACTTGTCTTTGCTTGCTTGCTTTTACTCAATTTCATAGATCTACTTATGCTTTCATTTTGTGGGAACAGTAATTGACCACTCTTAGTAAAAACTGTTAGGTTCAAGGAGGTTCTGTGAAAATCAAATCAGAATAATGTGTTTCACCCCAGCTCCCACAGGCCAGGAGACAGGTGCTCAGGAGGGTGCAGAAACACCCATGGAGACAGGGGGCGCTGCTGAGACAGCCACAGAAGAAAGTGAGACCGCTGCAGAAGGGGAAGGAGAAGAGAAAGAGCAGGAGGCTAAGTGTCTGGTCTGTGATGAGTGAGTAAAATATATTGTCAGGTTTTTTGGTCTGAGAGGACAGTATTGTTTGATGATCTGATACCTGTCTAAAATTGATGAAATGAAGAAAACTTTATTACTATACAGAATACAACAAAAAAAATCAACAAGTCTTGTGGCTGTTACTGATACAATTTTCACTATGTTACCTTCTATTATCCAGGTGTGGCAAGAAACTCAGGACTGAAAATGATGTACAAGTGAGTACTAGTACATGTTGCAAGACTTGTTCTACACTGTGTAGAAGAAAATGAGTAGAGGGATTAAGGTATTGAGAAAAGAAGCAAGAGACAAAACCAGAGCAGTGTTCTCATATTAAAGTTATAATAGTCATAAATGTCTAAGAATATTAATTTTGTTTTATTTGTTTGTTAATTTTCAACAAAGATGCACGCTGTACGAAGTGGTCATCAGAGTTTCTCAGAGTCCACTGAAGAAATAAAACCTCTGACGGAGGAGGAGAAGCAAGAACAACTTCGCAAGTTAGTGTCTTCCTTTTTCCAACTTTGTACTTAGTCTATATAGAGTTATGAATAAATTTTGCTGTGTTGACTCCTGACCTCCCTCTGGACTTTTAGCGACAGCATACAAGAATAAAATTCTTTAGATAATAAACTTAAATGGATCATGATGCATGTCTTGAGAAGTTTAAAGAAGGTAGAATCCTTACTGTCTTCCTCCTCAGGGTCCAGGAGCGTCTGAAGCAGCGGCGACATGAGAAGGAGGAACAGGAGAAGAAGGAGGCCATTGAGAAGGAGAAGATGAGGAGGAAACAGGGCAAGGAACTGGTCAGCATCAAGGCTCAGTAAGTTTATCAGGATTTTTCTCACACAGCTACAGGAAAAGATAGAATGTTCAAAATAGGTATTAATTTGATATGTAACCTTAAACTCATCTGTTAATAACTTTGTCCCCCAGACATGACTATGAGCAGTCCAAGAAGCTTGTTGCAGAGAGGAAGAGAGAAAAAATGGAGGAGCGAATAGCCAAGTAGGTCTTACCAAGGACTTGGTCTTACTGATTAATATTTGGTTCAGTGTTCACAAAGAGATGTATGAATGAAATATATAAGTAACACTGTTCTTCCTGTTTCTTTCAGACAAAGAGTTAAGGAGCAGATAGAGAGAGACAGACTGGAGAGGGCTGCCAAGGTAAGCTAAGCACACTACCTTACTGCCATGATCTTCAGGCTGCTTCAAGGTCACTTTCTTTTATCACTTAAGCCTATACATGTACGGTAAATCCACTTTGTTGATAGCCTGAAATACAGCTTCATGCAGCATGTGTCTGCTTCAACAGTTGCTTCCCAGAATGAATCTGGATCTCAGACTACTGTTGTAGTGAACAGTATGACCTTCATGACTTGATGTTGTCCTCCCCCTCCCCAGTTTGGCAAGGCAGGCACACCTGTCGCTCCCCTGCCTGGAGCAGCCCAGGCCCCCCCAGCCCCACCTCAGGTTGAGGCTGCACCTGAGCCCAAGAAGGACTACGAACAAACACGCATTCAGGTTTGGGCCATATACGTACATTGTCAATCTGATTTGATTTTATTACCGGTATGATGTTTGAAAGTCAGTACATACATGGCATGCTTGGGCAGGTAGTCAGCAAGTCTGCCTTGTGACATGCTGTTTGTTTGTTTGACAGGTCCGGCTGTTTAATGGCACTGCCCTGACACAGAGTTTTAAGGTCCAGGAGGAGCTAGCCGCTGTGCGACTGTTTGTGGAACTGAACAGAACAGATGGAGACCAGCCGTTCCAGCTCATGACCACCTTCCCAAGAAAAGTCTTCACTGAGGAGGACATGCATAAACCACTGAATTTATTAGGTATGAATCTCGCTGTCTGGATGTTACTCAGACTCTGACTTTCCAGGGCTTGAAGGGGGCCCTTCTCTGGCCACACTATCTCTGTGAGTGTGACAGAATCCCAATTTATCAGAGATTGAGGTTGGGAAACTGAGCAAGCACAGAAACCATTTAAATTAATTTCTTGCTGTCAATCAGAGTATCTGTAGACACGCAGCACTGGTTGTCTCCTGTTGGTGTTCAAATCACACAACCAGTAGTGTCTGTTGAATGCCACAGGTTAGCTTGCTGTAGCATGCTGTTTTACATTCATTTACCCATTTTGTAATCTATGTTAATAATTCGTAAATCATCTTTTCTTCTCTCCAGGACTAGTACCATCTGCAGTTCTAGTGCTGACCAAACTACAGTGATGTGATGTTTGTCTCTGACAAATAACCAGTAATCTGCCCATGGCATCAAGAAACACTCAAATGTCTTACCTACAGCTGCTAAGGAACCAAGGAGCCCAACAGCAGATGATATAGAATAAACAGTACATTAAATAGTAAACAGCTACATGATCAGAGAAAATAAATGTTCCACAGTTTTGGATGCATTCTGCAACATATATTGTAGAACGCTATCTTCAAATCTATCAAACACTGTTTCTGTTTTCAAACTTTGCTGTAGGTTTGAAAAAAAATTTGTCCAGGTTTAGCTGTTCAGATGTTGCTACCGGATATGGTGCCATTGCTTTATCAACAAACTACATTGAACAACTGATACTACTAAAACTAAAGTTAAGTAGAGATAAAGCAACCTAGAAATGTATTGGTTAAACCAATCAATATTTTTAATCACAGTTGCTGCTGACATATAACCGGTAATACATAATCTTAACAGTAGTGCTAGAGGTTTTGTTGAGGTCATAATGCAATATAACCTATTACTTTTGAGTTGGTGCCAACCACCATCACTAATTTCCAACTGACTAAGCAGTGACCTTACAACTGGAAATTTTGGTTGGTTGGTATCTTGGAGAACCTGTCCAGACCCTGTGTACCCAAGCAAACTGGATAGGCTATTTGAGGATGATTAAAGTTTACCTGAAATTATGTGTCTGTAATGGTTTATTGAATTTTAGTTAGACTACATGGAATCTATATAAAAAGCAAGAGCTCTCCAATCACCATTGAAGCATCCTTTACAAATGGATATTGTATTTCTCTAACAGCTAAGAGATGGTTCAATTAAGAATAGAAAATGTTACATCACCTGAGGACATTAAAATTACGTGTAGAAAAAAGTTTTTGCTTTTCAGTTGTCTTGCTTTCATCAGTCATTTTAACCATGTCTAATTCCCATTAATGATATTTTAGATTGATAGCTCCTTGCTTTAGTGTGAACACTGCAGTTTGTAAATCCTTGTCCCCATCCATTGCCACATTGTCTGGGTTTGTCTTCTGATTAGCTGACATGAATATTGGGAACTGGTGGACACATATTCCCTGCAGGGTGAAGACTTGGATTCTCTGGTCCCATTATTGAGGTCCACAATGAGTCATTTCAAATGTCTTATAGGCCGTGTCTACTGGGCACTAGGGTAACCCACAAGACCAGAGGACCTGTTGTGCCTGTTGTCTTTCCCTGAAAATATATGTTGCCATGAGGTGAAAGAGATCATGGGACCAAACAGAAGTTACTGTTTTCAGCTATTTTTTTTATTTTCTGACTTGTATATCTGTACAAAATAACTTTGATATGAAAATAATGTTCATAGTTAAGGGAGAAAAATGTTTTGACTATGCCCTAACTCTAAAACATTCTTCAAAATCATAATTTAATTTAAAACACCATGTTTACATAAATACAAAAGACCTGTCATCAAAAGTAGGCCCTTTGCACGATGTCTACATCCTTACTCTTCAGTATACATTGTAGATATCATAGTTTGCAATATGAAGTTTACATGGTGGTTAGTATTGCTTTCTTTTCTTAAAATGCTTGATTTTAACATGTAAATAAAGTCATTTGTATCAAAGTCAACACACATGATGAACCAACAACAGCTGGTAGGGAATACCAGATTGCTAACAATCTATGTGTGAGAAGCTGATTAAATAGAAGCAAGGCTTCTGGTAGACCTACATAAAAATGTCACACAATATTGCTTGTTCCCAGTTACATTTACAAAGTAAGAAAGGTTGCAGGATTGCACAAAAAGCAAGTGATGAAATACCTATCAAACAAAGAACTAAACTGATATCGCCTAACTGTGAGAAGTTGGTTAAAACAGCCAATACTTCAGGCAAGAGGTACAAATTGCACATTGTACGTTTTCTGTACAGAATACGTATGAGTTACTAAAATGGATACAGACAAATGTTTCAGTAGACTAGCTAGGCTAGGTGAAAGGAACCATGTAGCATTAATGATAAGGAGTTTTGATTTAGTATTGCTATGAAGCAGTAGAATGTTGTAAATAATGCTAGTGGCACAATGTAGCTCTCAAACACAGGTCTGAAAATGTTATTTTGGAGGAATGACTAATACCGGTAATAGCACTTGGTGGCAGTGAGTTAAATTCGTCGTCACATAAGGCTTCCTCCTAATGAAGATAAGTGCACTGTGGTAGTTCAGACTTTTGTCATGGAATGTTCTGAGGACACTGCAAATCTGGACTTATCCCATTCTGAAAAGTGGTATCAACTTACTTACCCCCTTCTATTATCTTAGTATCTGACAGCTGCCCAATAAGTTTATACACAAAATAGCCCTTGCTAAAAGGACCATTACATTTATTGCTATTCAAACTGCACTGCACGGGTCTCCATTTTCATCATGGAAGGTCATTCCTGGTGTAACACTGGGAGGAGTCTGAGACTGCCTGGTGGTGACGATGTCATCGCTGAAGGTCGGCTGGGTCGCCATGCTGTCATCATGGCCGTCAAGTTCCTGGACTTTCTGGCCCCTGAAGGGTGAAAACAAGATGGCAAATATGAGTACTTGGGAAAACATCAGTACAGTTTAGATATCAATCCAGGTAATATCTAGAATAAGGCCACACCAATTTAATTTGTTGGTTCTCGGATTTTTTCAGAAAAAATATGAAGCGACAGGGCGAAAAAAAAATAAAATAAAAACAGGTCTATGCATCCTATTATAGGCTTAAATGCTACGAAATGAGCCATGAAGTCAACACAAAAGGCTGGGTTAAAATTTAAACATTGAATTTTGAACTTTTAATCAAACCACTGCAATGATAGATGGGAAAACTGTAACAACTAGGAAGAAAAGGACTTTCCTCAACTGTTGGGAGCAAAACATGAGCATTTTTCAGTTGATTCAGGACCAGAATCAATTTTTTTTTTTTTTGCAAATCAGAAAAAAACGAAGAGGCAAATCCGAGAACCAACAAATTAAATTGGTGTGGCCTAATGAAAGATTGTAACAGGTGATGTGATGACAAAGGTGTACTGAAAATTGCTGCAATATAAGACTTCTTTTTATTTGTTAAAGTGATGTTACAGTAAGACAAGGGAGCTTTATAAAAACAGTGCAAACATGCAAGGTTGCCTGAAGTTCCCTGAATTATCCCTTCAGAAAAAGTGCAAGTTGGATCAGAGTGATAGCAACAATCCACATTTATAACGCTACCTTTTTTCTATAACAAATGACACTCTGCAGCATTGAACAAAAACAGTGATGCTGTTAGTATAATAACTGACACAGGTTGGGGCGAAAACATCATAAAAGTTTTTTAATTAAAAAATCTCTTGAACTGTTAAAAAAGAAAAGAAATACTAGTAAAAAGAAAAATGACAGTGTTAAGGCTGTGATGAAAGCTCCTTGGTTAAGGCAAGTTAGTAATGTTAAACCAAACAATACGAAACTATGATATACTATCAATTCCAAACTACTTGTAGAGGGTAAGACATGACAATGGTACACATTGACTTATCTGTCGAAAAACCAGATGAAATCTCCACGACACAGGTACTTACTTGATACTGTGAGTAGGGAGGAATGAAGAGGCAATACACCACACATGCAAAAGAAAATGGTAGTCACCAATTAGCAAATTAACTCAAAGGCAAGCAAAAGCCATTGTTAACAAAACCACACCTCCCAAAACACAATCAGTTCCCTTCATAAGTAATAAGAATGTTAGATAGAGTTAGAAATTAACATGGAAAATTATGGTTAATTCAAGTAATGTCAGTACAAAAATACACATGCAGGATTAACACACATGCAGGATTAATATTACTACCACTCTATAATGCCATTGGGTTATTTGAAGTAACAACCTGAAATGAAACCTACTTTTTCTTGAAGAAAATGTTTTTAAGAGACTTCTTCAGGCCCTTCTTCTTGGGAGATACAGAAGAAGGAGCGGCTTCCTCTGGAGGGATGGGTTTCCTCTTCTTCTCCTTTCTCTCTGCGGGGATGGGGATCTTTTCTACAGTGGGCTGCTCCTCACTCCACACACCTGCAAACAAAACAAATTTTGTAAATATCCTTCCTCACGTGTATCTTAACATCTAAAATCTAATCACACGTCTACAAATCTGACTGTTGACGGGACAACAGAAGTATTCTTCACCTGTGAGTTTCTGAGGTACTGGTTCCTCTGGTGAGGCTGATTTCTGAGTGTGCTTCTTCCCTGATGAAAACCTGACGGACACATCTCCATTAGGAGTGGATCGTTTTGTCCCACCTGAGGAGGGAGGAGTCTGTCTGTGTCTCTGTCTCGGCTGGACAGGCTGAACGTTTTCCTGTGTCAGGCTCTTGGCCAGAGCCATTGCTAGCTGCTGCTTAGTAGGTGAGGGCTCTGAGAGCCCATCTGGAGCATTCCTTATCATCGTCCTTCCATCACGAACGTCAAAGGCACTGACGGCATGCCTGGCCTGGTTTGGGTGGGGACGGGAAACGGCGACCATGTTGGCAGGCATTGTACTGTTCAACTCTGCCTTGGAGGACTTCTTGTTCCTGGAGGGTGCGTGTGTGAGAAGTGAGGGCTGGTACTGAGGAGGGTCCAGGAGAGGCTCGTCAATGTCGTCCCTGTCCCGTATCAACCACGGCATGCTGCGATGGTGAGTGGGGATGTAGTCCTGACTGCTGCCCTCTGAGGGAGCATAATAGTTGTTATACTGGTCTCTGTAGGACTCATCACTATCATACCTGGGGACACCTGGGTCCAGCATGTGTTCGTACTGACGACGGTGTTTGGGTTTTGGTCTGGGTGGAAGGTTTCTGACAGTTCTAGGTGGAGGGATGGGAGAGCTGGATCTGTAGTTGTGAAACTGTTCATCTCTACTGTATCTCCTCTGGCTGTACTCATCGTCATACTCATCATATGGTGACCGTTTGTGTTGTCTCCTCTCATCCTCAGGGAACCTGGGTCGGTGCTCGTCCTCTCTGTCCTTCGCTGCACGTCTTCTCTGCCGGGCAGCTGCTTTGGCAAACCTGCGGACAGATGGCAGAACCATATGTTGAGTAAGAGGTAACTTTTTTTTTCCAAATTCTTTATCAATTTCAGATTAGGTATTTTGACTGCAATCCTTTGGTTGTACTGGGGAAGCAAAAATGATGATCTTGTATTGTAAATATTAAAGCTCTGATAGACAACTTTGAAACTGAGACCTAACTTATGGAAGATGACACCAAATTTATACAACCTTACCAGAGCTGTAGATATAGTAGAATCTTTATTTCCATGTCTAGTTAAACCAGATTTCTATAAAAGTATAATAGGCTACCTTCTGCTGGTTGAGGGAGAAGGTACTCTTGGCCCCTTGTCCTCAGAGTGCACCCCACTGTCCCTTGTTGTAGTGCTACCACTGTTGAAAGTGACATCATAGCTGCTGCCACTGTTGAAGGAGACAACATTCAACAACCATGCATGAATGTTCTGCACATCTTAAACCCACCTTAACATCTCTCTTACACCTGCTAGTGCCGGGGACCAATGACAACACATCCTCTACCATAGCCATTGCATGCTCTTTGCATTTGAGTTAATGCTGAACTGCAGCCCAAGACTAAAACTCTATTGCTATGTTACAAGAATGCAGACCCTGACTGAGAGGAGAGGAGATCAGATCTGACCTCCTGCTGGGAGAGGGCTCCTCTCCTGCCGCCACACGTGTGGCTGTCTCCATGGAGGTGTTGTACTGGTCCAGGAACCTCTGCAGCTTCTCCAGGGAGCTCTCCAGGTAGTAGTGATCAGGGTGGTCACTTCTGGTGTGCTTCAGCAGTTTCTAAGGAACAACAGAGCAACTAGGGACATCAATGGCTGCACATAAGGGATGCCAATGCATTACTGCTAACTATAAATACGGAGTTCCAGGCAGTAGTGGTCAGTACTAGAGGACAGGATAGGAGTAAGAATCTGGCGGAATTAGCACCCACCTGGAAGAAGATGACATATTGCGGTATCCTCTGTACAGGAGCCAGGAGAATGGAGGCCACATCACCAGCTCCTCTGTCCATCCTGGACATGCAGTTCTGAGGGAGAGGAGTACACAACTTACATTTACAACCAACAGAAGCTTTTACAGCAGCTTTGAAACTACCTACCCTCTTACACGATACAACTTAAATGTCCATCTTTTACGTAATATTATTGACATACTGTGAATGTTTCATCCCATACCTTCAGGAACTTCCGGAATCTGCCTGAGTGTCTCCTGTTCTGATTCAGTGTTGTCATGGCATCTGGGAAGTCTTTCACATACTCCACATATAGATCCAGGAAGTTTTTCTGGGAAATAGCAACATGACATGTCATCACAGAACTGCTCAAATCAAAAACAGTATGCCTACACCAATAAACTAGCAGGTTATACTACACTAATAAATTAACTCTTACAAAGACTTACTTTTAACACAATTTCAGCATCTAACACAATAAATATATGCATGTAACCTGATTGCTGGTGCCTGTGTTTACCTGGTCTGTTAGCTGCCCACAGATGTCCCCTATCACCCCCTGCCAGGCCCTGTTGTCCTTCCTCCCCTGCATCTTCCTCAGCAGACTGCTGTGGTTCATGTGTAGTCTCTGTAGTACTGCTGGGAACATTGCACTGCACCAACACAACACACACATTAACTACAGCCTGTACATCACTTATGTACACACAGGCAGAATTCTCCACACTATGAGTCCAAAAACCTGTTCCTTCTAATTTTTTCCTACCTGATTTCTCTACTGGACACCAGGTCCGCCTGTCGTAGTGGTTCCACCACCTTCTCCTGCAGAGCTGCCAGGTACGACACATACTGACTCTCACTCTCCACAAAGTCCTGGGCTATAGCACCTCGCAAGCCTGGATTAGAGTTGAGGGAAAAGGCAAAGTAAGATGTTGTTTACAGATTAATGAAAATCTCCTACTCTGTAAAGAAATAAGTGGAATATTCAATTGTAATACATACTCTGTCTGTGTGACTGAGGCAAAAGAAAAGTTATCTTTTAACTTAAATTCTGATCTTCTGATCTGACCTTCTGCGCTGTTGTTGTTCCTGTGGTTTTTCTTAGGTGTCGTTCGTAGAGACTTGCTCACCTGAAACACACAAGACAAACTATGTCTAAGAGGGTGGTGATGCATGCTGTGAAAAGCTGTCCATCTCAGGCACTAGGTACAAGTATGTGCACGATGTAAAGGGAAGTATAGTTGTCAGGTACCACACGTATCATACATATAACACACCACACACCACATAATATTTTCGCTACAGGATGTTCATTGCTGAAACATACTTGGCAAACTGTTGTGAAAATTCTCTAATAGCTCTAGTATAATACCTTTTTATCTACCACTGCTCAGAAGCACTTCAGAACATCATGATCAAACATGTCAACAACCCTGCCACCTGACCATACCTGCCCTGTACACAACAATAGGATGAGCCCCAGATAAACACCTCCGACCAAACCAACAGGGTAACCTAATCCTGTACAGGTGACCAACATGTCACACTTCAGTGGAGTTACTCAACATCCACGCTGTTGTGGACATACAAAGTGTCCTTTTTCACATTCAGGAGGCTTCTTCAGTTAAACATGGGGGACATGCAGGGGGGCTTTGGTAACTAAGGGAAGCTTAGCAACACCCAGAACAGCCCTTGAAGGGTTATTTACTTTTCATTAACCTCAGTTTAATAGGGAGGGGGAGAAGATGCATGTTTCAAGGAGTCAGGACAATGTCAGACAGATGTTTGGTTTTAGCAAAAGGGGAAAGTTTGGGGGTAGCATCAGTAAATCAAGATAAATCTAGACTATAAACTCCCTTTCAGAGAGTATACCACTGCCTAAAAGTCTAGCCAATTATAAGATTAGCCATTGTCAAGCAATGGAGAAAGTACACCTTCCTTTACCAGGATTAAAATCATACCGACCCAAAGCACCAATGCCCGCCATTCTCGTGGTTGTAATATACAGAGCGAGATATCAGGTGCATTTCCATTGGACATTTGAGCTAAATCTTTTCTTACTGCTTATTTCTACCCACTATCTACCCAATTATGTACAATGTATTCATCTTGCCCCCAGGCTAATGCCACCCTCCCAGCATAAGTGAATTGTTGTCTTCACTTCTCCACTTTCAACTTATTTGCAGCCAAATGCTTTCACACCAGGACAAAACTTAACACCAAATTACAATTTACCATCAAATTACAATTTCAAAAGGAGCAGATAATCAACTTCTTAACATAGATTAAGGTAACATGACCATCTTCCAGAGATGAGTTGGAGATGGAATCGACCGTAAGCTTCAGGTAGTATCTGCAGGGCATACCTGGTTACTACCTGTTTCCACACAGCTAATTGTACTGAAGGCTCATTAGTGGTCCCCAATGGGATTTGGAAAATTGGATATCATGTGGCTGCCTGGTGCAACCTGGTGCTGATGGTATCCAGTTTGAGATAGGTTTGCAATGAATTCCACTGCATTTGCTTAGGGGAAAACAGCTTCTAACAGGGACAATTAAACTCTTTGTAACATATATTCATTCCCCCTACAATATCTTGTGTTACATGTATACAGAGAGAAATGAATGTAGCTGTGTGGCCCCTAGTACTGACCACAGGAGTTTTTGTTTATTACTGGAATGTCAAGGTATGCTTGTACAGCAATGTGGCCAATCAATTTACAAAACCTGTTTATTAAAAACTGCACTTAAATACATTAATATTTTGATGTATGTGTTCAATTTCACACCTTTTTGCTCAGGACTGTAATATATCTTGTTTAGGAATGGCACCAATGTCAGATGCACGCTCTGGCATGCCACACGGATATCTATCTTGCTGTTTAAAGAAAACAGGTTCATCATGAATACCTCCATCCGTTTACTTGATGTGATGAAAAATGATTCCTCGTCTTCCTCGCTGGACGCCGCGCTGCCGGCCTCCAGACACTGTTGCCGTAGCGACAGGCTGAGGCGGAGACTTCGCTGGGCGGCACGTGTCAGGGAGTCATCGGAGTCCACCACATTGTCCAGGTCATCTACATATAGGTCGCATATTGGCAATTAGTACAGCTGAATCTTAACATGAGGCAAACAGTCCTCCTTTTTTTCAAACAAAATATGAAAACAACAACTATCAACACAAACAATCTAAAGATTGATATGAAGTGTTTGGTTCAGTGAGCACACATATAGAGGAGTCAGCAAGGATAAATGTGAATGGTAGACAGCAATTTCATCTTGATCACATTTTGTCTAATGGCTTTCAAACCCTATGTTTAAGTTACCATGTATGAAGTAGCTGACGTAACAAGGCAGATCTGGCTTGCTTCACCTGTTAAATCTAACATGTCATTGCAAATGTGCTTTCTTTTTACTGGTTTTATGCCAATTTTGCATGTTATGGTACACAATGAACAATGACACTTAAGATATCAATTGATAGAACCTTTAAAAAAGAGGTAAAGGTTTTAATTCATAAAAGACTTCCTGTGTTATGAAGTAAAGTAAAGTAAATGAATACCATTAATTTGAAAGGCACTATTCAAGCACTATGTGACATTTTATCATATTGAATTTGTACAACTTCTTCCATACTTTTGCAGGGAATTAAAGACCTTTTGTCCTGGCTATAGAGAGTGGCTTTAATTGGTCTCAAGACAATTGAGCATGCATGTGGGTAACATTAAAGCACACTTTATAGATGATAAATTTCCAAAGAAATCTTCCAATTTCCCCCTACAGTCCTCTAAATAGGCCATGGATATGAATTTTTAAAAATTTTAAGTTTGACCCAGATGCCAAAAAGGTTCTATATTCACATGTGACCCTCCTTCACCCACAAATAATAAATCTCCATGACAGTATAGGGTCAATTGACCTGGTCTTCTACTCTCATAACCACAAAAAAATGTCATAGCCCTACCAGGAGCAGCCAGACTAGCCAGGTAAGGATGGAGCAGGGGAGACACAGGGTGGGTGTCATCATGTTCATCCTCTGCTCCACTGTCAGGATCACTGGGCTGGTTACTATGGCGATGGGAATGCTCGGAAGACTTGGACGGAGTAAGGTGGTCCTTTTTCCTGAAGGACATAAATGCGCAAACATATATGTATGACTGACAACCATGGTAACTTCAAAGTTAAAGTAAAAGTTTACCTTACTTTGGGAAAAATGAAATGCAAAGCTCAGGGTATTACAGAGCCTAAAATGTATTTATGACAAACTAACAAAAACAGAAGCCTACTTGAGGTTGTTGGATGACTCCTTGAGCCTGACAATCTCATCCCTGATGTCGTCCCTGTCTGTCAGCAGGCTGTCCACTTTCTGCTGCAGGGCCTGCTGGCTATCATTGGTCTGCTGGATCTGGCTTCGGATGAAGTCAAAATCACCCTGGATATCCACAAAAAAATTAACATCAATGTCACAACATTGTTTGGTATGAATCTCTTTTAGGATTATCTGTTATAATATAAGAATCAGTTAAAGTTATAGGGTACAGTACAAAGTGTGCCTCCTACATGTATAACAAAGCCAAGGAATAACTCTATGCCAAGACTTTTTTCTGCAGGACTAAGCATCAGTTACAAATTTTACGTCTTCCCTGAAAATGTTTTCTATGAAAAATTAATGCCACACCTTAAAAAATGAAACCTGGTATTCAGTGTTCACAACTCATTCCATTCTCAATCTTTCATACTTTTTTTAAAAAACCTATAGGGAGACAGTTTCTCCTTTAAACTATTGTAGTAGTAGTTCCAAAGACACTGGTTATGTTGTTGACCCTGACCTTGAGTGAGTGGAACATCTCGCTGAGCTCCAACACCTGCTGTCTGAACTCACTCTTGCTGTTATCCAGCCGCTCCTCGATCTGTTTGTCATCTATCTGGATGCGGCCCAACTCCTGCATGGCCCCTTCAAACCCCGACTTCATGTCCGAGACCAGGGACTGCAGCTGTAATACACAAAGGGAAAATTACGTCAACATGTCACTTAAAACATTGACCTGAGGACTAAAAGGTTTCCAACAATGTTGAAAAAAGATCTCAAGCTCCTACCATAGAATCTTGCAGTTATGTTCGTGGTATAAATTTAAAACCATGCAATACCAGAGCTCTTTTGTCTGAAATTTTGTGGCATCTGAAGGCAACATAAAAAAGATGATCTGACAGGGCCTTTACCAAATAGTGCCGCTCTGCAAATCCCAAGTCTAATCTGTTATCACAAGAAACCCGTATCTCACAAGTGATCCGGTGTTAGCCTGGGCCTTAGGGTTAATGCAAAGCACTTTAAAACCTTGACCACACCATAAACCATTTAAGTGTTGCCTCTATTTGTCCCTGGAGGAAGATGTCAGTTATATTGCAAGGTGTTGGATAGCCTCTATTTTGCATTATTGATGACTAGGTTGGGAGACATGTAAAAGCACTTTCCACAGTCCGGATACCTGCCAGATACAACAGCTCCAATAGACTCCTATCATTTATCATGAGAAATCCTGGGGTCCAACTACTGATCATCCTATACATAATATATAATCCAGAAACCCATAAATATATGACAGGGAGACAACTGATCATAGACAAAAATGATTTTGTTCTTATTGGTTGTTCAATAAGAAGTATTGATTGCTTTCTTTGTTTGACTACTTCATTATTTGACTATTTCATAGTCCTCAACGTTTGATACGATGACTAAAAATAACACCATTTCCATAAGGCGCAATACTTCCTAAACTTACAATGCTAACTAGGAAAACATATGGAGTCTATAATGTGGTTTGGGAACTGTGTGCTCTCAGCTATATACTATTAGGTACAAAATATTATTTGTTAGCAATAACACAACCAAGAGTATCATGATGGATACTTGTGATTCCATAGCTAGCATGTAACTTACACCTAAACAAGACACCCAAGACTATCCTTAAGAAAAACCCTGAAGCATATACCTTTCCATAAGTGAAAATGATACCATTTAACATAGACTGTATAATAGAAGATGTCCTTTGATATCAGGTTTCCCAGTCTTATCTGTTCCATTGTGTGCCACTTCTCGTAAACAAGTTGTCCACCCTTTGTATGACTATGCTTGCTTGACAACATTATAGAGAGGACATGTGCAGTGCTGTCAGTTATAATTAGTACAGTACACCCATTTTAGACAACTCAGTACACTAGTTTTCAAGCAAACTGCATCCATTCATAGACAACCTGCATCCATTCATAGACAAATTGCATCCATTTGTAGACAAACTCTTAATTGTCACAGTATACTAGTACTTCCTACCATATGTCCCTTACTCAGTTACTGTAACTAGCTCTAAAAATGGTCTCTTACCTTCCAGAGTGCTACACTTTTCTCCAGAAATGCCATTTTGCCTGACGAACATCCCTACAGTGAATTCGAGGGGTGCCTGTCCTTTTGACAAAGCTGACTGCTGGTACTTTGACTCTGGTGTCATCCACTGACACTTTGTAACCTCCAGGATCATCAGCCATGTAACATTGTAAGCAGAGGATAGGAAGTGCACAGACCAGTTCATAAAGGGCACACAAATGCTCTTGTGCTGCACACACTGTCACATGGGACTTTTCACAAACAAGGTCCCTCCTAGTCTTATGTTATGTATATCAGAGCATTAGCAGCTATTAAACATTCATCATCACCCAGTGTTACCCCAGTCAGTTTCCTGTAGATGATAATACCTCATGGGCATTGAATGAAGGCACAAAATAGCAAAACAGACAAAGGAAGTTATGATAATGCTAATTTGGTAATATTCAAATGCATCTTCTTTATGGATTACCTTACACCAGTTTTTGTCATCTCTGCCCTTCTGACTATATAAAGCTGAGCTCTTGGGGTTATCTCAGTGAACACTAGAACTCTGTTGTTCATTTCCAGATAAGTACCAGGTGTGTAACTTGTGATTTAATGACAGTTGGAGTCCCAGTACCAGTAGGAGTATGACTTTACTGTGAACACTGGTCTCTTTATGTCCAGCTGTCCACTGTACTTACTACATTATCCAGATGTGGTCATGCTTTAATTTCAAACACATGAACATGGCTAAAAATGTGCAACAAAATCCCCTTTGTTTCCTTGGCATTAATAGACGTATACAATACTAGGAATGTTGAAAAGTACTAAATGCAATCATGGTAGCTTTTATCACTCTTGGGCAATCTTGTACTAGTGAGTAGTGTGTAGTAATTGCAGCTTGAACCTGCAGTTCCTAGAATTATTCCAAGGAGGAGTCTATACCATATTCCTCAAAGCATTTATGTAGAGTTAAGAGCCGCTGGTAAGTGAAGTGGTTGACATCAATGATGGGAGACTTTGTATGAAGTAATTCTCAAGGAAAGGGGCTAAGAAAAAATGCCAAGACATCATCATAACATACAGTCATTCTTCCCACCTGGCAACATGCCAGGCCTGGTTGTGTCACCAAGGCTGTCTACTATCCCCCTAGCCTGAGTCTACAACTTGTGTTTGCAGACCTCCTCACACATCAGACAAACACCTGGTCTCCTGGGTGACCACAGTCAGGTTCATTAGATCAACACTTGGCAAGTGTTTATAAGTAGGACTACAGCCAGCTGTATTCTGGACCTTGGTAAATGATTAGGATTCTTTTGGAAAAAAATTCTAAATGAAGGGTACTGAACACTTCAAATAAATAATTGATGTTCACTAAATGAAACTTTTTGAAAAAAAGTGTAATCATATGTTTTTCCTTGTAAATGAATGTTGACAGCACAGCACAATTTATCAAACAAAAACACAAAACAATGCAGTTCTCTTTTTGTAACCACTCATCCGACACTGCTGAAAATTGTGCACACTGCAAACCACATCAATGTAATTACCACCCTTTATGTTATTGCAGTAGAGATGTTCCCATTGTCAGTTGGTATTCACAACATCCATCACCCTCCCACAGTTCACACCTATATTGATAGCCTGTTCATTTCCCCTGCTAGATTAAAAGCCTTCCTCATAATTCGGATGAATAGGGAGAGGATGGTGCCATAAATTATAAATGAGGGCAGGACTGTGGTTTGACTTCAAGGTTATATAAAATCTAATCAATTTTTACTACAACATACAATGGAGCTATGATAGCAACAAATACTATTATCTAAGCTGTGAGCATAAGATTCTTCATTGCTTATTTAAGTTAGGTATTAGACAGCATTAAAGTCATATTTTGAATCAAAAACCTTAGCATAACAAATGATGCATCATGTGTCACAATACCATATATCATATTTCATAGTCCTGTAGCTATTCTCAAAGGTACCTGAAGTGGAATGGTACAGGAGTAATGTGGGCACTTACACTAATAAAAACCATGTCAACCTCTTCTGAGGGAGCCATAAATTTTTGTTCCAGATACATTGCTGCAGTGATTTTATAGCCTTCATGCCCAGTGATTGGAGGAAGGGCATAGTTTTTTCCTTACTTATAAATTAAACACACTTTGCCTTTGCAGCTACATGTAGTTTTAATTATAAGTATATGGAAATGTAGACCGTTGACAGACATGCCTAAAATAGATTTGACGCATGTGATTTACGGACATGCATGGTTACAATGGGTTATATTGTAAAGAAACAATAAATCTACCTCAAAGACTACAATCCACAAATTTTGCAAGCGCATTTTGTAAGAAGAACAATGACTGGCAAAACCTGATAGTGAAGAAGAGTTAGTTGTAATTCTCTTCAAAATTCATCACTGCACTGAAAAAAATTGCCAAAACTTAATTCTTTCATTTACAAATATTGGAATTGGTCAAAATCCTTCCAAAATTAAGAACATCTTCATCTTCTAGAACTTTCATATAAATACAGTACACATATTTGATTTATTCATAAAATATGGGAGCCAGATGACTTGTAAATCATATCTGGACACAAATCTGCCACTAGATTGTACACCACATTGACAACATAGGCTTGGTTGCCAATTTTTCCTAACCAAACCAGCCCTGCTTATGATGAACAAGGTCCAGAGCTGAGGGCACAGTTTACTCATCAAATATCCCTGGGATCAGCCTGGGACAGTTTGTTATCCTAAAGCAAGCTTGGCATGCTGGGAGGATAATGTACAACCACACCCAACCCATATGGATGGGCTGTTCATATGGTTAGCCTCTGCCCTGCCCCTAATTATTGTGACTACACTGTGTAGGGGGCACCAAGTGTACAGTTACCTCTGTAGGGGATACGTTTTACTACATGTGACCTACCACGAGACAACACCACTAGAAAGTAGAAACTATAGTAATCAAGATGACATTTACCTAACAGTGACTCAACTACCATAGTAAGAATCAGATCTAATCTTAGTTGTACAATGTATCCATTCTTTGTGAAACATTTGTCAAGTTTGATGATGTATTTGCAATGGGTATTGACTACTGAATGACTATTTCTCCATGCATGTGTGATGTGTAATGCTAATTGTTATGACCACAAGAACGTAACAGTCATTATTCTAAATTATTATATATTGTACCTGAATTTTAGTAGAAAATACAGTTAAATATGTGAGAAATGGCAAACTGTTACTACTGGTAAGTCGCAAGTTGAAAACTTATGCTAGCCAACTGCAAAGTGCACCTCTGAATAACATACAAATCTATTTGCAGGTCCTTTCATTAGATTAAGTCAGAAGAATTATTCCACTCTACTGCTTCTTCTGTTCTACTACCAGGCAGTCAGAAGCACATGGCATAACATGTTAAGTACTACCTGTGTGCTTTTATGGGCATGAGCTATAAAAACAGGCACGTGAGAAAACCCACCTGGTTGATTTGAAGGGCCAAATCTTCTTGGGAGGCGGCACCTGAGGGGACACAGGCAAACAATCATGTCGAGAGGTTCAACAGGGTTTGGTCAGCATGTGTGCTTCAGATATATTTTTCTCTGCATAAGACGAAGTGTAGAAGAAATGTTTCTATTTTACATTAAGACATTTGGCCAAAGTAAACTTCCCAACAAAAGTATGCTTTATTCTGATACGCTATTGACTGGAGTTTTAATAATTCAAGCATGTTCAAATCCTGTAGTTTGGTGGAATTATTTGTACAATTCAACCACATATTCTTACAATAAAGGGCTTGCCATAAGCAGCGAATAGGAATAATATACAGCTGTATTCCTATATGTAGAATTGAATAGGGGTTGCAGGAATGTAAAGAATGGACTTCAGGGTTTAGTTGTAGTGAATAGATCCAAGTTGATGGTGGTGGACCTGAATGGCAATACCTGGCATAGCATATCAATTGTCCTGACAGGTAGGCATGAAAGGTGTGTAATTCACCTCAGAGAGAAACACCTTTCCTGTTTGTGGTTCTCAGCATGGGGCAGATATTCATACCCCAAGGCCTATAGTTATGGGAGATGTTATCAGCTACCTTAGAGCCATAATGTGGCTTAGGGTCACTTCACATGAACCTTCTCTTTTTACTGGCAAATGTTTACGTGTTAATTATATGGCAGATTTGGAATAATTCATTCATCTGGACATACTTTCACTGTATTAATGTGCTGCAAACAAGTACATGTAACACAATTCTACCTATTCTGTTTTCACAACAAACAATAAATTTTTTTTCAATTCTGTCTTTCTCCTAATACTGAAAGCAGATTTACTCTATAAAATGCTATTATTGCATGTTGAAGAAATGTTCCCAGTTGCAGTCTGTATATTCACCTTCTCCCTGAGAGGGACTTTGTGTGTCCATGCTGAGCTTGGCGAGTAAGTTGTCACACTTGCTCTCAATCTCGTCCAGGTCTGGGGAGGGGGGTGGTGAGTCCGACATGTTGGAGACCAGTCAGTTCTCACCAGTCACAATTTCTGCCACGTATCCAACCTCTAGAAAAAGGCATACAAACAATTAGTTTATCAATCTGCTTTGCTAGAACAAGGCTGTTCTATTCAGTGGGAACTGGACCTTTTGTGGATTGGTTCAGTTGCTAAATGAATTGTTCCCAGAGCTATTGTTAAGCCAGGGCAGTGGACAGGTGGATACATGTATTTCAACCACAACCATACTAGCAAAGTGGTTATTTCTGCATCATGAACGAATAAAACTAAATGCCCAAGATACATAAAAGATATATTTTAACCTTACTTTGTCATCATCTAGAATATTTAAACATGAACTAAACAGAAAATTTTGATTTTTCTGAAAATATCCCTTAAGAATCACAGGTTTATTCTGACGTATTACTTCAAGTTCTGTTCAAAGGTTCTGTTAAACTGTCTCTTTGTAGACTAATGCTATAACCAATAGTTATGGTTGACTCTGGATATGTACACTATGCTTAGCTGTGGGGTATTTTACAGCAGAGGCAACATGTTTGATCTTGAGCAGAAGCTTCACAATAACACACATCTGACATACATCAGTTTTAGTCTGGTCCCTGGTGACTATATCATACCACAGGTTTCAGTAATTTTAGGGCGCCCTCTTTCAATCTGATCAAATTTATTATTCTAAAAGGACTTCAATGATAACCTGCCACAGACAAAACCACAGAATCTACCATTCATCTGGCATAATTAAATGCAAAGTCATCAATATTTCACCACTGATGATTCAATGAGGCCAGAGTACTGTGGTTTGACTAGACAAAAGTAGACATGTGATTTATATTGACAAAAACATAAGTGTAAACTCACATCGATGTCATCATGACTCTGTACTCAATACAGTATTAAATGTTTCTGGCAACCACTGATTGTATGATGTAATTGTATGATTATAACTAACCAAGTTCATGGTCATACACCAAATGGCCTATGACACACACTGAATAACAAATCACAAACCAGGGCTCGAAATACTGGGTGCATGTGCACCTTAGTGCACCCAAAATTGGAGCTGTGCACCCAATTCTTTTCTGTGGATGCACTGGTGCACCCAAATATTTTTGTAGGTATTTTTGTACGTATTAAATGTATACAGTAATACAGGATATTCTTGGCATCTAAGTGTCAGAAAAATAATAAAATCTTTGTTGTAGCACTAGTTTCAGATCCAAGCTCAGAAGAGGAGCAGTAAGAGCTGTAATTAGGTTTTGTTTTATATGGTGCACCCAAAAAATTATTTGTGCACCTAATTTTTTTAGGTTGGGTGCACCAGTGCACCTATTCCCAAAAATGAATTTCGAGCCCATGTTAGCACACTCAAACAAAAAGCTCTTAACTTATAAATCAATGCTTTGAAGCCAGCTTTTCCCCAGACATGTTTATTTGCACAACTTCACTCCAGAATATGGTTCATACATGTACAGCTTACTGCAGCCAGCTGGCTGACATGAAGACAAAACAGCTCCAGACAGGCTGTTTATGAAATGTCAACCGAGTTCAAATGTAATGCCTTATGAAATCTTTAAACCACACACAGCATTAACAAAATATACTGTGTCATTAAGATTCTATCATTGTATCAAGGCAAAAATACATGTACTGGCACACCACTAGCATGTTTCCAGGCTATCCCTCAAAGTCAAAGGTCTGAAAGCTTGTGCCTTTGAACAATGTACTTTTCTTTGAGTTTGAGCATGAAAAACGTTGCAGGGCTCAGTCAACTACTAGTATTAGAGCTAGGCCTCAGTGTGAAGCAAAGAAATTAAACATACGGCTGCTATAAATGATACAAATGTACTACAAAACAACTGAAGTGTGACAGATTGCTTTCATAATGATTGTGGACATTGGGGAAGGGAATAAAAGTTGATTGCTGGGAAAAGCTTAAACACACCGAGGCAATGATAACACAAACAAAAGGGGCAATATCCCACACCTGAACACTTTCATCTCTGTTGTGACTCATTTGAGGCAATAAATACCTTACTCAAAGGTTGTGGGAATACTGAGACAACCTGTTAGCCTGTATGTATCATTGCATAGCAACCATGAATACAGGTGTAGCATTTACTTTTAATTGCTTTAATAGTGTTCCATACATAGTACCTTTTCCTACAGGCAGTGCCTTCTCCTATATTAGATTTTGTAGACAATGAGACGCTACATGTCACAGGTGTCAAGGAACCCAAAATTGGTGTTGACAAGCTAAGGAAAGGGTGGTGCCATAGTGCCCATGCCTCTGCAGTGTTGGTTACTATCTACTTTCTAACCCTGTTTATTACATTAACAACATTTGCTATCTGGCCAAAGTTCACACAGTAATTTACATCTAACAATTTCTTATCATTCCACCAACTTTTGCTCTAATTGGAAGAACATATTCCATAACCACACTGCCTACCTTGATATCTTTTGATATTGAACAACTTAAGCCTTGTATGAAGATCAATTAACTCAATTATGACACAAACAAAAAGGTCATAAGGCTTCTTTGCCACTCAGACTGATTACAAACACAATGTGATCTATATCTAAATTCTAGGCAGGCTGTGGTGGCCCGAGTTCACCACAGGAAGGACATACAGTAAGGAAAACAAAATCTTATCTTCTATGTTTTCTTTCTCCACCTAAAAGCATACAAGATAAGGTTGTGTCCTCCAAATAAAGCACACGAACTAAATGAGGTGCATATATTTGTTACACGAATACACATGCATAAAAAAAGCAGACAGGGCATGTATAACGGTTAATGAGGTAAAGAGGTTAAGAAAACAAAAGATTTCAAAAAGTGCCCATGTAAGTACAGGCTGCCCTAGATTCACTTGTTGAGTTGTGCTCATTTGTATGAATGAGAATGCAATGAACACAGGGAGGCATTGAAGTTTATTGTGATGGGTATACTTCCCTTTCAGTATATTCATTTCAACAAAAGCAGGTGAACATAATAATACCTGCTGTTAGTCTATCAAAGCAAACTTGTGTGTACTGAACACAATTTTGTTTTTGTCTCAAGCCTTCTCAAGTTCTTACCATGTATCCAGCTTAGGGCCTGTTAAACCCAGGTGACCAACAAATGTGTATAAAGCATTATGTTGATTTTTTGGCAGTTTAAAGTTTCCTGTTTTGGGTGTGTCAATTCCAAATTCAATTTTCTCATATCTTGTATACTCACT